ATTGTACAAACGCAGTCGCTAGCATGTCTACGCAGTGGGTTAGTTTGTTTCTGAAGCACAGAAGGAACCAAAACAAGCTCAGTGGCGTGGGGTAATAGTGGGGCAGAATTTTTAAACTAATGTGATTCACATTTGCCTTTTACTACTGCTGTAGGATTATATAGTCCAACTTGCTGTAGTCTTGCCCCAGTGCGCGTCATCTATAATCAAAATACCGCTCACTCACTAAAGAACCGGGGTGGGCAGAGTTCATAATCGTGCATATACCCCAAAACACCAAAGCTAACTTTAGGCTGACTAGCTAGCAAGCTTGAACTTATTCTATCCAAACCAACGTCCGTCAGTAGTATTTGTCCTGGCAACCAATTAAATATTTCTACAAAGACATATGAAGCTGGACTCACCTAAAAGAAAAGCAGTAGAAAACAGAATCTGTGCTTGTAACAGTGGCTGCTAAAGCGCTGCCAGTGGTAATGTAATGAGAGGTGGAAACACACGCTTGTAGGAATGGCGCGGGGAGAACAGCAGGCGCGTGTTGATGACGTAGGATCAGCGGCAGGCTGCTTCATCATGAGTAAAGAGAGCCAATCGCTGTTTAGTATACTGACACCAAAAAATCTGGCTGCTGAATTTTTGTATTTTGTTTGTTTTTGTAGGAAGTATTTTAAAGTTAATTCAGTCCTGAACTGGAAACCAGTGAAGTTACTTCAGTACTGGAGTAATATGTTCAAATTTCAATGTGCCTGTAAGGACTCTGGCCACTGTATTCTGAACAAGCTGAAGTAACCCTACTAATGATTTGGCAAACAGTAGTCTAGCCTGCTTGATATGAATGCATAGACCCATTTTTCAAAGTCAGTCTCAGAAATATATTTTCTAACTTTTCATACACTTGTTAAGTGGTAGAAAGCTGTTCTGGCGACCTTATTTGTATAATTATCCAAACTGAGTTCCAAAATAATGCCAAGGTTCCTGACTTGCTCACTGTGTTCAGAGAGAAGAAGATAAACATGGACGAAATTCTGTTTCTGACATTTTTGGTGCAATCACAAATATTTCTGTCTTGTCTCTGTTCAGTTCTGAAAAGTTTCTATACATCCATCAGTTAATGTTATCAGTGCAGCTTATTAAACTGTGAACAGTAGTTAGATGATTAAAGAAAAATAAAAAGCACAACTGTGTATCATCTGCATAAGAATAGTAGGACATATTATTATTCTTTTTGATAGTGCCAAGCACATAAAGGACATTTTAGTATCTTGTTTAATATTTGTCTATTTAAACTTGCATAGAGACCATGTATTATTCAGATATACAGTTTCATGATTACTTAATTTCCTGATTTACTTTAATTATCTTTTTTTTCCAGTTCAGTACATTAGTTCTAGTATGTTTCCAGGGTGGGCTTTCTCATTTCAGTTCAGTTTTTGTTTGTTTGTTTGTTTGTTTGTTTGTAAGTCCCAAAAAGTTGATTCTGTTCATCTGGACATAGCGTTTTCAGTGGGAAAAACATTCCATCGCTCATCCAAGTGACGTCTTCAGTCTCAGCGATTTCCCTACCAGGATGATTGAGCATGCATCAAGACGTTTGTTTGTAAGTTTCTTTTTTATATATAATTTGACAATATGGTCAGTTTTCAGGGGTGATGCAAACACAGCACTTTGTGAAGGTGGCTTTGTAATATAAAATTCAATAAATAGATCAGTGTGTCCTCTGATTTTAAGTGTCAACAGATTTGACTAAAACTAAAGACACAGGTATATATATTTCTTTTATTTTTGTGAGCAATATTGTTTTGTCTGTTTTTTTATTTTGTTTAAATATCTATTTGTTTACATCTACTGTTTGTTAAGGTTTAATTAATTATTATAATCATGATACCTTCTGTACTGTTTGTCGTTCATTATGATTCCCCAGGATCTCAAGCTGTTTTCTCAGAAAAGGCCGGCTGTCCTATAAGGCTTGTGTTTATGTGATGCTGTTTCATTAAATAGCATCGCTAATTTCTTCACAATTTGGCCTCAGTCAGAAAACCAAAGAAAAACTTCATTTTGTATTTGCTGAAAAACTCTAAAGGGCTACGACTCATCATTTTCTCGGTGGAACAATGCACTTTTGGGTTGAGTTGTGCCAAAACTTGATTTCCAGCATTTTGCCAAAAAGTGATTGCCTGTATTTAAACTGCTATAAATAACTTTTTGGCCTATATGTCAATTGTGTCCAGTCCATCATGAATGATATCAAGTCATCTTGAGCCACAAACGACATTCCTATCACAAGGTGAAAGCCGCAATCACTTTTTTGCAAAGCGACTTTTATATATCCTTTATTTATCATGTTAAAAGGTCTCACTTACATTAAAAAATGTATTTTAAGAGTAATCTGGCCAAGAGAATAGCAGAAATTGCAACAAATATAACAATAGGTCTATAAGGATATTTTAAGTGGCCTTAAATGGTTGGATTGGTTATAAAGTAGGTACAATAACACAAAGTCATCACTTGAAAAATGTTAATTTTGAAATTTTATATATAACCCCATTTGTAAATCATGCTCATAAAGTCTATTTCCCAATACAAGTAAAGACATTAACGTAAAAAAATTGAAAAGAAAAAAAGAAAAAAAAATAAACTGGAAAAAAGAAATTGAAAAACAATCACTTTTTTGCCTGAAGGGCCACTATGCACCGGCCGAACAAGCAGTGACAGCAGTCCATTGGTTCATTTTCATGACTGACACTGGATTGCCCAATCAAATCTCGTAACGTGACCGGCCCCTCCCATAGCTATGCTGTGTGCTCATGGATCAAATGGCGAGAAGGTGGAGCTGGAAAGCTGAGAGAAAATAGTAAAAACAAAAATAGATGCAATAAAATGTGCCAAACTAACAGACATGTTAGCTGTCGGGGCTGCTGCACCGTGAACAGTAGTACCAGCAACAAGTAGTAACCAGGCCTCACAGTCAGAGGAGCGTGCTGCTGCTAGCACCAGCTGAGGGGAACACACACATATATACATACCAAAAAATAATCCAAGTCCAGTCCTGTTGACATCTCTGATCCCTAAATGTGGCTTGTATTCAAGGAATTCTCTAATCTTGCACATGGCATGTGGTCATTCACTGGGGGGAAAGGCATAACCCAGAGTACACAGGATAGTTATCTGTAGAGTGTATCTGTAGAGTGTAGACGAGTTTATCTTCTCACATAATCTCGAACTGCTTGATTTAGATTTTCTTACCACTAGGTGGCAGAGATATTTCAAAGCAGATGTACAGGCACGCAGCCTTTAGGTTATCAGGTCAGAATCTTGACCAATGTATAAATGAAAACTGCTTATTTTAAAAACCTGGAAGTTATACAAGACAAAGTGGACCACATTTCTGTCAGTCTATCATCGGTGACACCAGAGATAAACAAATCATGTAATCACACATTTATGTTGGCTCCCAAGAGAGTATTCATTCCTCTCTGTGGTTTACCACACAATAAGTATTATGCATTTACTGAATACTGATCACATCAAATAAATATAGTTTACCACATAAAGCAACCTACTCAGTGCAAGACACCAACTGACTAAATGTGCCCTATTTCAGTATTTCTCAAAATCAGAGTAACTTGATATTTGTGTGGAAAATGCTGGTCAAATAGCCTTTAATGTGTTCTGGGCAATAAGCAGACATATTACAGACATATCACTTAAGTATCTGAGAAAGTACAAGTACTGTGAGAAACTAGTTCGCCTTTTTGCACATAGCCCATTGTCAGGTGACATGCAGAACATGTTTTTCCACACAGTTATCTAACTGTAAATCATAGTGACACTAATCCCTATCAGTCTTCGTTTGAATTTCGGTGGCCATTTCACTGAAGGCTGTGTATTAACTGGGATAACTTACAATTATGGTACGCATGTCAAGAAAAAAGCTTTCTAGACATTATAACGACAAGAAAGATGATCACTTTTGACAAACAATGGATTTGTTGATACAAACAGAATAGAAGAGAAATATCCTTTATTGTCCCTCGTTGGGAAATTCACGTGTTACAGCAGCAAAGTGAAAGGCAGACAGAACTTGCAGATTCAAGTAAAGAATATCAAATAAAAAATGAGAAATGACAATTTTACAAATACTTGATCAGACATTGCAGCGCTAAAGGTGAGTGAGACTTTTTTTAAATGAAAATGAAGTCATAATGCAGCTGCTCAGAACACGATAAGATTTAATTACACACTTAGCACTCTTCCATACCTACCAGCCTAAGTTTGTGTGTGTGTGTGTGTGTGTGTGTGTGTGTGTGTGTGTGTGTGTGTGTGTGTGTGTGTGTGTGTGTGTGTGTGTGTGTGTGACTGTCTGCCTGTCTGTGTGTATATTGAGATGTTCTTTAACCCTTGTGTGGTGTTCGTATTTTTGTTACTCAGCCAGTGTTCATGGGTCTGGTGGACCCGCTAGAGTTTTGGCTTTCCAAATTAACACTATCAAACAATTTTATGTTAAATTACTCAACAGATGTTTACTTCATCCCAATTACAAGACATATGAACAGCAAACATGGTTAATTTTTTCCCTTTACCTTTGTTAGATCACATTTATGAATTAATGTGCTTCTCGTTTTTCTTTTATATAAAATGTTATAAATAAATCAGTTATAATCAAGTGGAGTGAGTGGAAAGACACAACACATTTACACGTGAAAAAATAATTAATTGTTTAATTTTTCTTTTGAAAAAAACTGAACACGGGTCTCACAGACCCGAACACCATACAAGGGTTAAATGGGAGGATCCTGTTCCTCGTTCCCTCTTTGTGTCAGTCTTTCCCGCTGAACAAAAACGTTTCTCTCACAGACTCACAGACACTTGACTCCTGAGCCTTCTGTACCAGAGAAGCATGGATTTCATGGAACTCTTTTTCATTTCTCTTGGTACTGGAGTTGTGGTGTACTATGGAGTGAGGCTACTGCTTTTCAGTAGGATGCTTTTTCCAAAACTGTGGTTTCCACTGCCAAAAACTTTCTTCACCTCAATGGGAGAGTGGGCAGGTGAGCAGCATGTTTATGCATGTCCACATGCATGCGTTTGTGCTGTGCGTGTCTGTGCCATGTGTAATGAATACCATACAATCTTCAGTAGGTCATACTATGATAAATAAATCCTGGAACTTCAGTAGGTTACGTAGTATCAAGCCAACATAGGTATCACGTTTTGTGATACAACACTACATTTATGTGTATACTGTATGTAATTAGAACTTTTAAATGACTACATTATTTGAATTAATTAATAAGCTAAAGTGTACATGGCAGAATCTGCAAGTGCCATGAACACTAAGCAGTGAAAGTGATTTAGTTGATCAACTTGTGTGTAAAAGTGCATTTAGTAGGTCACAATAGCGTGAGTCCCCTGCCCAAACTTGTTTTAACATTTCATCGTTACACAAGATTGCGCTTGTGCGCTGATATACCCAAAGGAGGCAAGTCCCGACGCTTAAAATACTTCTTTTTTTATATACTTGCAGGGCAGCTGATATATGTACAGAAAACACAATTCAAATTCAATATCAAAATGTATGGAACATCAAGCATAAACTGCATGTTTTTCACATAACATCCATTCTGAGACGAGCAAAATGATCCGCGTCATCATAGTTGACATTGGAAAAAAGCTGCATAACGACAAGTCATACCTGTGTGACTAGTTTAACAGGAAGAACTTGGTATAGTACAGGGAGTCAGAAATATTCCTCTACCTTACCACACTATAGCCTACTCTTCCGAAAAATGTAAAGAAAACATAACAACTACATTTATTTTATACACAATTACATGTAGTGATAAGCTTACTGACAAAATGCACCATATTCCATTCATTTTCAAACTTGTAATAATTTAGATTGGCATGTAGTTGTGTAAAAAGGGCTGTTAAAGTGCAAATTATGATACGCAAATTATATATGCAAACTGTTTCTAATTAAGAATAGGAAAAACATTTTCAGATTTCAAGAACAGAGAAGTAAAGCCAAACCTTCGGGTTGAAAATGGCAAATTACTGTTGAAGGTTTGATTTAAACCAATCATGTTTTTCAGTGTTTTCCCAAAACATTTTACCCTGAAGTGTTTTTGTAGTGAGTGGATATACAGGATTAAGAATAATAAGCAGGAAGCTTTTACATTCGAAGTGGGTACAACAAATCTAACATAAACACTCCAAATGAAACTACAGAATAGAGTCAACTTAAAGGCGGCTGAGGAAATGAGCAAATACTTGCTCTCTTGTCAATCTCCTTGTGACATTCCTCTGCAGGTCCAGAAGCAGTTTCATTCACTCAAGAGGTTTGCTTTGGCATCTTCTGAAGGGGTTATTCTCTCACAGTGCTCAAAGAAGCCTAATAAAAACACTGGGCTGATCTTGCTTTTCTTCCCAAAGCCCACTTTCCTTCCCACTTTCATTCCAGAGGAATAACATCTGAACAGCACGGCTGCATAAATGACACCCCTCTCCAATTATTTCTCCCAATAATTGGAAAGCCCCATTTGTATCCCTCTTCAGACCTTTTAAACATTTTTAGTTTCAAGAAGCCTAAGCGGTGTTGTGCATGTGCATGGATCTATTGATAACAAAGAATAAGTTACTCAAATGGCAATGCCCCATTTTTTAGAAGCTCACAAATAATTAGGACAATTAACTATTTCACTATCAGGTGAGGCATTTTCTTTTTTTCTTTCATAATAATTAGGCAGATAAGAGATGTGGGCTTTTCAAATATAAGTGCTGTACTTGTATTTGGTAGCTGTCCACCAATAAGATGTCAGTGCAAGTGAAGGAGGGAATCACTAGGCTGAACAACCAAAACAAGCTTGCCAGAGAGACACTAAAAATGCAGGAGTAACCTAACCATCAGTTGTGAAGGCACTGGGCAGCTCAGCAGCACCCAAACACAACATCTAACCAAGGTAAGAACACTTTTAAGGTGGTACGTGAATCATCATCAAGAGGTACAATCAAGAGATGCTTTCATGAATGTAATTACAGAGGGTTTACACCGAGATGCAAATCACTGGTCATACACAGAAACAGTAAGGCCAAAAAACATCTAGCAGAGCCTGCAAACCAGATAGATGAAACTCAACTTAACTTGTACCAGAACGATAGCAAGGGAAACTGCTCGTGATTTGAAGCATACCGCCTTATCTGACAAAGATGGTAAATGGTAAATGGCCTGCATTTGTATAGCGCTTTACTCAGTCCCTAACGACCCCAAAGCGCTTTACACTACATTCAGTCATTCACCCATTCACACACACATTCACACACTGGTGATGGTAAGCTACATTGTAGCCACAGCTGCCCTGGGGCGCACTGACAGAGGCGAGGCTGCCTGACACTGGCGCCACCGGGCCCTCTGACCAGGTAGGGGCATTATTACGACATGTGTGTGTATGGTTCTAATTGTGAGTGAATCACTATTGTTTACTGATAATGTGACTGATAAATGTAGAAGGATGAATTATTTAGTGTGCAGGGCTATACGCTCTGCTTAGATTCAGCCATGTGCTGCATAACCTATCAGGCAGTGCAAATAGATAATGACCCAAAGCATGTTGCAAAAGCAACCCAAGAGTTTCTCAAGCCAAAGTAATGGGATACTCTTCAATAGACAAATAATTCATTTGATATTAGTCAAATAGAGCATGTTTTTTAGTTACTGAAAATAAAATCTGAAGGTAGAGAGAAAAGCAAACCGAATGTAGTTGCAGTTAAGGCCTGAGCAAAGCATTAGCATCTGGTGATGTCCACAAGATTTCAATATAACTTAAAATGATCTTAGTTTGTCCAGCTTTTTGAGCTTCTAAACACAGGGAACTATGCACAATGACGACTGTGATTCCTAAAAGTTAAACCACTTGAATTAAAGATGAAATTCTGCCCTTAAATCACATTTATGTTATTTGATTTAAAATCCGCTGCGCTGGTGGACAGAGGCAACATTGCAAACACTGTGTCTAAACATTGTGTCATCCTTCAGTATTTATTTACTCAAATGGTAAATGGTAAATGGCCTGTATTTGTATAGCACTTTACACATCCAGTCACCCACCCATTCACACACACATTCACACACTGATGATGGCAAGCTACTCAACTCTTACAATAGAGTACAATGAACTCGCTGTGACATATTAAAGTGAAGTAACTGTGGCGAGCTTTGTGAGATCACACAGTTTTTGTATAAAGTGGACAAATATGGCACTTAGAAACACTGTTAACAATGGGGACAAATAGACTTTCTATTCCCTTGTTGCCCTTGTTGAGTGCATAGGCTCAACATTAATTTAATATTGGAAAATGTCTTAAGTTGGCTTCCAGTTTTACTATCCTGCTGGCTTTTAAATGACAGTCTTTCTTGCTGCATCACTCTCACACAACAGCACATTTGTCTTTGAAGAGAAGCCTCCACAGGCTGCTGCAGTTCACAGAGCTCATTTGCATAAAGGAAAATGTCACAGTCATGTCTGGTTTCAAATTATTTTGGGTATGTTGATTTTATTCAGTTTGTCACAGAGGAATCCAATTTTTTTTTTATAACCAAATGTTATATAACTACATAATGCTGTGTTTCTTCACTCTCAGAAAAATAATGGTTCTTAAATGGTTCTTTTTAAAGACTCTATGGTTCTTCAAAGAACATTACCAGCTAAGGACCCTTTTAATTTATGAAAATGTTGTTTCATATTTTTCATTAAATATCACAAATAGATTTTAAATATATTGTAGTGGGCTAGGGGAAAGGGCCGCTGGCTAGAGGACAACTTAGAACACGTATATCTGATGTTAACGTGTTCTAAGTTGTATTGTTGTAATGGCAGTTACAGTTATCAGGTGTTGATTTGCCATTTTTGTGTAAAATTACAGCTGCTGTGTTTTCTGTGTTTGATGTAGCCAGCGGAGCACCGTGAGTTAGACTGCTGTGTCCGTTTACCACCTCTCACTGCTGTGGTGTATGACGGAGTGATCCTAATTAAAGGCTGTGCTCGCTGTAGTTTAGCATTACAGCTAATGCAGGAATAGCAAGTTGAATACAGAAGTCTTCGTCTACATGTCTGAGCTTGCCACAATATTGTTTTGTTTAAGTTATTTGAAGGAAATGACACAGAAGAGTGATTTTCCTGTGACTGGCTCAGGTTTGAGTAACAGTGGAAATCATGAATTACAGATGCTGCAATCTGCAAAAAGGTGGACTATAATTAAATTGTGAAGGGACAAGAAGTTGTTCTTGGGTTAGACATCTTTAATAATCTATTGAAGTAATACACTAAAGGACCAGGGGTGAAGCTCTAGTGTAGCTGTCTGTCATTTTTGTTGCAGTACATGTCATTTAGAAGCTTTCTCTTGAAATATTATGGTGCTGACCAGCAAAGGGTAGCTGAGATGTTATTCTTTCCTCATGACTTCCAGCCCTTCCAGTGCTGCAGTGTCAACAGAGGCGTTTAATCCTCTCATTGTGTTATGGGCGTGCAAAAGGACATCCTTTGAGCTGAACATTTCTGCACAGGAAGGCCGATAAATGTCCAGCTCCAAGTTGGCTCATTTAGAAGAAACATGCTCATTCTAAATGTGCGACTGTTTTTATGGTCTGAAAAACAAAGTATTTCCCCAAGCGAAAATTGTTTTTATGGATGAAATACTACAAAGAATTTCTCAGAATCAACTGAACCCGTTCAGTTCATGTTGATAGTACAGATATAGACATACATCAACAAATCAAGAAAACAAGTGATCTGCTCTGCTAGTTTGCCAAAAAATATTAAAATTCATCAGACAACTGTAAGTCAGCTTATGAACGTAAATGACAACTTTGCACAAATATTACAAATACTATACTATATATAGTATATATGTACTATATACTATATACTATATTCCTTAGTGGAACAATTTCCCTACAGTGCAGCTTACTTGCAGCAGCTGTCTGACAAGTCCTTTGCTGTTGCGTCAGTAAAAACATCTGGTGTAGATACTCTGCCAAATCAAGCATGGGGAGCTACTTGCTATGGCGACCCCTTGTGAATGAGCTGAAAAAAACCTTCCCTAATCCATCCATCCATCCGAGATGGCTTTCTTTGTTTTTCTTTTAATTTTAAGAAGCATCAGTGCAGAATAGTTTTGTGGAGGTTCTGCATAAAAATATGCTGAAATTATTTATTGCATCTTGTAATGTCTTGATGCATCCAGGTAAGGAAATTCCAAAAAGTTGATTCTGTTCATCTGGACATAGCGTTTTCAGTGTTATTTCTTCAGTATCAGCTGACTGCAATTTTTTCCACCCTTATAAACAGTACATTTGCGTAATGACTATAACTGTCGTGGTCCTGGGTCATTTTGACCCAGCGCCCCCCTTTTTCTTTTTTTTTTCGGTTTTAAGTTCATTTGTTACTCTAAGGAGTTAGTCTATGGGTCCTTAGTTGTTCAGTTTGGATTTCCCCTCGTGTCTTTACCCCCTTTGTCCCCCTCTGTGTACTGGAGTTCTGGTGCCTTGTTTTCCCCTCCTTGTGTTCTATTCCATGTTTCCCCAGGCCGTCATGTCTGTGCTCTCCCTCGTGCTCCTCAGTGTTCTCTCTTACCCCCAGTCTGCGTCTCTGTGTATTTCCTATTTTATTGTGAAGGTCCGTGTCTTATGTCAGTGTGTTCAGCTCACGTTTCCCCTGTCTCATCAGGTCAATTAGGTTCAGCCCTCCTGTTTGCCATTCTGCATTTTCCTCTGTGTGTATTTATAGTGTGTGCTCATCGCTGGTTTGTCTGTGTTACCTCCACGTGTCATCCCGTGTTCCACCACAGATGTTTTCCTCTGAGTTATGGTTTCATATTTGTTTAGGTTTGTTCTTAGTTTCCGTCCATCCCATCTCTGTTCTGTCTGTATTATCACCTCATGTAAATAAAGCCCACTCATTGCATCGTCAGTGCCTGCGATTGGGTCCTTTTCCCTTCAACCCCACACAACTCCCACTGCAGCAGTGACATAAACTAGCACTACTGGTGAACAATGGCCTGTGCAGTCAGTTTCTTGATCATTAATATGCAAATTTTTACAACCAATGATCAACAACTACTGATCAAAGACCACTGATCAATGGTCATGAGTGCCATTCACAGAGCATTGTGAGATGGGGAAAGATGTACCCTTAGGCCCGCTCCTCAATTCAGAAGGTGTGAATAGACTGTGGAGTCCTGGCCTGACAAGTTAGCTCTTCTGTGGTACATAGGACCATTGATCAATCATTGCTGATCAATGGTCATTACAATTTGCATCTTAATGATCAAGAAACTGATCTCGCAGCCCATTTTTCGCCAGTAGTGCTAGTTTAAGCCATTACGCAAATGTGCTGTTTATAAGGTTGGAAAAATTTGCAGGCAGTTGAGACCAAAGAACTCACACTGAAAATACTACGTCCAGATGAAGAGAATCAACTTTTTGGGTACATCTTGTAATGTTTCTTCTTTAAAAATCATGATACAGGACAATCTGTGTTTCACATAGTTTATGTTTTCATAGGGATTATTCAAATGGTTCCTGTCCATTGGCAAGTATTTTAAATAAATGCTCTCCTTTCACCTCCACTGTATTTTGGTGGATGCAAAAATTGTAAAAAAAAAACCCCCAAAAAAACAAAAACATACATAGTGTATTTCAGGTTTGTTGCAATTGAATTAAAAAATATTTGAGTAATCAAGGAATATTGAAATACCAGATTTGAGGTTAGTCTAGATAAAGTTTGTGTAAACTTAAATAACAGTAACTCAGTTTCTGCAGACAAAATAAAAGGACATTGACTAAGGCAGCCTATTTTTGCCACTCTACCAAGGGAACAATATAACACTATTTTTATTCTTTTGTGTTATAGCATTATAAAATCTTGTTACTATGTGAAAAGTTAATTGTTCTAATTTGCAGTTATAGTAAGAAAGAGAGCGCATGTTTCTAATATAGTGGCTTTTCTTCAATGACTCACCATTAAATCCAGAATCGAATTTAAATTTTTATGTACTCCTCACATACAAGGTCTTGAATAATCAGGCCCCATCTTATCTTAATGACCTTATAGTACCATATCACCCCCATTACAGCATTTTGCTCTAGGACTGCGGGCTTGCTTGTGGTTCCTAGAGTATTCAAAAGTAGAATGGGAGGCAGAGCCTTCAGCTTTCAAGTCCGTCTTCTGTGGAACCAGCTTCGAGTTTGAATTTAGGGGACAGACAGCCTCTGTACTTTTAAGATTGGGCTTAAGACGTTCCTTTTTTGATAAAGCATATAGTTAGGACTGGGTCAGGTGACCCTGAATCCTCTGTTAGTTATGCTGCAATAGATCTAGGCCGCTGCGGGATTCCCATGATGCATTGTTTCTTCTTCAGTCACATTTTTAAATTTACTATGTGTTTATACACCCCTCTGTATTAATTATTAGTTATTATTATTATTCTCTGACTCTCTTCAACAGCATGTCTTTGTCCTGTCTTTGGCTGCCCCTCCCTTAGCCTGGTTCTGTTGGAGGTTTCTTCCTGTTAAAAGGGAGTTTTTCCTTCCCACTGTCGCCAAAATGCCTGCTCGTAAGGGGTCATATGATTTCGTATGAATATTGGGGTTTTCTCTGTTTTCTTTACAATATAAAGTGCCTTTATATTGTTGAGATTTGGCGCTATATGAATAATATTGTCTCCTGGGTGAGGTGTTCCGGGCATGTCCCATCGGGGGCAGGCCCTGAAGCAGACACAGGACACGCTGGAGAGATTACAGTGGCTTGCAAAAGTATTCGGCCCCCTTGAACTTTCCCACATGTTGTCACATTACAGCTACAAACATGAATCAATTTTATTGGAATTCCACGTGAAAGACCAACACAAAGTGCTGTACACGTGAGAAGTGGAACAAAACTCATACATGATTCCAAACTTTTTTTTTTACAAATAAATAACTGAAAAGTGGGGTGTGCGTAATTATTCAGCCCCCTTTGGTCTGAGTGCAGTCACTTGAACATCCCACAGAGCACTGTTCAAGCGATCATTCAGAAATGGAAGGAGTATGGCACAACTGTAAACCTACCAAGACAAGGCCGTCCACCTAAACTAACAGGCCGAACAAGGAGGGCGCTGATCAGAAATGCAGCCAAGAGGCCCATGGTGACTCTGGACGAGCTGCAGAGATCTATAGCTCAGGTGGGGGAATTTGTCTGTCAAATATGGTGGTGGCAGCATCATGCTCTGGGGGTGCTTCTCTTCAGCAGGAACAGGGAAGCTGGTCAGAGTTGATGGGAAGATGGATGGAGCCAAATACAGGGCAATCTTGGAAGAAAACCTCTGCAAAATACTTGAGACTGGGGCGGAGGTTCACCTTCCATTAGGACAACGACCCTAAACGTAAAGCCAGGGCAACAATGGAATGGTTTAAAACAAAACATATCCATGTGTTAGAATGGCCCAGTCAAAGTCCAGATCTAAATCCAATCGAGAATCTGTGACAAGATCTGAAAACTGCTGTTCACAAACACTGTCCATCTAATCTGACTGAGCTGGAGCTGTTTTGCAAAGAAGAATGGTCAAGAATTTCAGTCTCTAGATGTGCAAAGCTGGTAGAGACATACCCTAAAAGACTGGCAGCTGTAATTGCAGCAAAAGGTGTCTCTACAAAGTATTGACTCAGGGGGCTGAATAATTACGCACACCCCACTTTTCAGTTATTTATGTGTAAAAAAAAAAAAATGTTTGGAATCATGTATGATTTTCGTTCCACTTCTCACGTGTACACCGCTTTGTATCAGTCTTTCACGTGGAATTCCAATAAGATTGATTCATGTTTGTGGCTGTAATGTGACAACATGTGGAAAAGTTCAAGGGGGCCGAATACTTTTGCAAGCCACTGACTGAATACCTGTTAGGACCATTTGCCTGAGCATTTATAGTTTTCTTTCCAGATAATCACTAAATGGATTTTGTGCTTGTGTGTGCTTAGTTTATAAAGCGGATGTGTTTACTAATGTTACAGTAATAATCCTTATCTTCTCCTGGGGCATAGTGCAGATGATCACAGTTTTAGTGCCTCTCCCTTTAAGAACGCACTCTTTTCGAGTTTTTTTTGTTTTGTACTGATTGCTCCATGCAAACATTGAGAATCACACACAACTCACTTTGAACTTACCATAAGTGGGCTGGTACAAAGAAACTCCCATTTCTGTCAGTCGAAGGAAGTTTAACAACAGAAATTTGTATTATAGATGAATATAAAAAAAAGTGGATTTTCTTTCTGTCATCTAATTGTTTATTTAATTATTTGGTGCAGGATGAATAGACATGAGGGACGTCTTTATCAACAGGAAACATTATAAAACTTATTTGAAAAAACTAAAACTAAAATTTCCAATGCTATCCAGTGGGCCAAATTGCAGTTTTTGCTGGGCCAATTCTGGTCCTCAGGCCTTGTGTTTGACTCTCCTGGCTTAGAGCATTTAGAGCAGTCTGAAACTTGAGCTTTTGGTTCACTGCGGTAACTTTTACTTATGTTGACTATATTATTTAAAACTTTGATCATGTTTAACATGAGCACCATATATTAAAATCAAAACGTCCACTTCTCATCACATAACCTCACCGCACATGCTCAGTTTGGTTATTTTCACTGTTTCATTGTCTTGAATGTAGTTCTTAAGTTGATATAATTAGGTTGTTTGTTTGTTTGTTTTTTATAGTTCAGTATGTATATCTACATGTTAAAGCCCTATTTGAACATACTGCTGCCTGTTTGTGTATACTGTGGTTTTCACTAAAGAAGAAATATAAATGACAAAACTTAGCGGATTGCATTTCATAAAACGGAGGCTCAATGTGAGGTTTCTTTGTCATTTGATACTTTCCTAATTAAGTAGTAAAAGTGTGAATTCAATTTATTTGTTCAGCTGAACAAATTAAAACGGAGGCTTAATTTCAGTTCCTGTTTCAGTAGTTAATAGGCAGTGTCACATTACTCATTTCCCCCCTGTGCTAACAACACTTCAAACCATGGGATCTTTTTAATGTTTTAATGGCTTTACACAATTTTCTCAGTGCTGTAAAACATAATTAGATATGAATTCTCATTTAGGTCTGAAAACGGTGATGAAAACAGCCTGTGGTCTTTGTAATAAGGGCCAGGAGGAAATGGGAGAGCAGTGAACACTCAGAAACAAGCTGTTCCTATCAGTTCTTTATCACACCAGGGGAACATGCTGTTTTAGCACAGTTTGTACAAACAGAATGGAGTGAGGATTAAACTAATGTAAACAAATAATAAAACAATCCTGGGATTTGGCTGAAAGCAGAGGAAGATGGGTAAGGCAGTGCATTACTGTACTGTTCTGTGCAGTACAGTGCCTCTAGTGGTCAGAATGGAAACTGCAGGAGATTTGATGAGGGATTCATTTGTAATTTTCAGTCTCTCCATCCTCCTTTCAGTGGTGACTGGTTCTTCAGAGGGAATAGGAAGAGCATATGCATTTGCAGTAAGTGACTGTTTAAATAACTCTGCTTGTGTTCTCATAAAACAAAACGAATACACATACTGTACATAATATCTTTTTATATTTTAGCAAATACTTATATGTATAATAATTTGAAATGAGCACACCATAGTTAAACTACTGTTCCTTTGAGGCACACTTGCTACTTTTTGCTGTGTAACTGTGTTTTCATATGTACTTTTCCACTATCGCTATTGCATCTCAGCTAGCTCAGCGGGGAATGAACATTGTAGTCATGAGCAGAACCAAAACAAAACTGGATCAAGTGGCTAAAGAGATAGGTATCTATGTGCATGTTTTATTTTCTTTGCTTCCTAAAATGTATGATATCTGCTAATATGCTGTTGATCCAGGCAAACGGTGCACAATATTTGTCTTTTCATTGTTCACAGGAGAAGCCACAGGGCAGAGGGTGAAAGTGATAGCAACAGATTTTACCAAAGAAAATATCTTTAGTGAAATTGAAGAGCAACTGAAGGACCTCAACATAGGAGTTTTAGGTGAGCTTTTATTTGTGCCTCCATACAAAATCCAGTTCCAAAAAAGATGGCATGCTGCGTAAATAGAAACACAATCCAATGATTTGCAAATCTCATGAGCCCATATTTTATTTACAACAAAACATCTTCATTTTTAAAACACCATTTTAAGAAAAACATTAGCTTTTAAGCACTAAGCTGGGGCAGAGCCATGTTTACTGCAATGTAGCAGCCCCTCTTCTTTTAAGAACAATTTGTAAATCTGCTGATTTTACAGACTGTGGAATTTTGGGAGATGAATGTTGTTCCATGTTTTGTCCGATATAGGATTCTAGCTGCTCAACAGCCCTGGATCTCCTTTGTCATACTTTTTTGGTGAAAGTTATGGAAGATCGGCAGGCCTGTCAGCACCCAGATAATGCAGTTGTAGTTGATGCAGAATCGAGTTGATCAATATTTTGCTGGAACATGCAAAGATTTCCCCCAAAAAAGACAACCAACCTGTTACCGATCAATCTAATCAGCCGCAAAACATTCCTCCAGTTGTTTCTTTTTAGTATCATTTACTTTTCCAGCCTTTTGCTGCCACCATTCCAACATTTTTGAGACATGTCATTCACAGTGAGCTAACACTATTCATGAAATGGTCATTTTAAACATTCAACATATTTTTTCTATGTTCAACTGTAAATGAAACACAAATTTATCAAATTTGCAAATCAACACAGGCACTTTGTGTTTAGAGACAAAAAAAATGGGGAAAAAACCCTAATTATTTAAGAAAATAATATCAGTTATTTTCCGCGCTTTTTTCTACCCCAGTCAACAATGTAGGAACGCTGCCTTGCTTCATTCCCTACAGATTCCTTGAGAATGATGAGCTGGACAAGGTCAGTAGTACCTCAGCAGCTTATACTTAAAGGTGTTTAGTTTTTTGTGTATATGTACAAGCACATTATGTTTATATTTGTTGTTCCTTATTAAAACCCATTAAAAAAATCATCCATGCTCACCTGCTAGCTGTGATTTCTGTATGACTCTCTTTATGGCTTTGGCAGATATAATAGCATCACCTGCATATGTGTGCAAATGTATAATAAACAGATCCAGGACCTTGTGCACGACTCCATGTACAATAAGTAAAAACAAAAAAAGAAAATACCACTACAACATTATGACTAACTATAGATTGTTTGGATTGACCCCATTTGCATAATTATTACTTTTATTGGTAGTAAGTTTGACAGCAGATAGCATCCTGATGTTGAACCTCAGAGGGTTCAGTTTATAATAACATGTTTTTAGAAGAGCATTTTAGCTCCAAATACATTTCTTTAGATATAAATAAAGAAATTATCTGAGACCCATGTTCATCTATGTTTTCAGACAATTACCAAAGTGATAAACTGCAATGTGAAGACGATGGCCAAGGTAAGATCATAGTTTTATTGTTACTACAAAACAATGAATTTAAGTTCATATTGATTGTTTATTGATGAAGACAGTATATAATCATCAGTATAATCTGAGAGGGTTTGCCAGTAAAGGAAGCGCACGTAAAGGATTTTGTAGAGCAGGGTTGTCAAAGTGGCACATACAGCCCACTATGATCTTAAGTGGGCCAGATCAATGAACTTCCCCTTTCTGTCATTTTAAAGAAGTTTAAAACAGATTCCTGAGATATGGAAGTATGATTTCAGCAGTATGTCTCAGTTTTCTACATAAAAACGACATAAAGTAATAAATTAAATTACAGACAAAGTTTCGGTAGCTTCACCCAGACTGTCCTGTAATTATAAAGCACAAAGTTTTTGTTAATTTGCAAAAAATGTTCTTTGTTTATTATCTTTTTTTTACTGTGCACCCAAACATTTTTTTTATAGTTAATAGTGAATGAACGGGGACTTTTCTGTTATTTACATACTTTTGTATAGAGTTAAAATATAGTTAAAACTCCACATTTTATGCCATCCTTTACATTTTCTAAAGCTGTCCAGTGGTCGGATTGGAGTCTTTGCCGGCCCAGTTCTGGTCCCCGGGCATTTTGTTTGACACCCCTGTTTTTTAAGGATTATTTGTATTGTTCTAAAACAAGTTAATGCTTTTCATTGCTTCATATGACTCAAGTCTGAACTTATTTTCTTTTGTTTCCAGATGTGCAAAATTATTCTCCCAGGCATGGCAAACAGGTTTCCTACCCATGTTTTCTTCATTAGATGTAATGTGTAAAGTGATGGATTATAACATGCTAATTAATACTGAGGTTGTGCTCATAAGTGTTGTTTAATTATTTATATCTGTTTGTATGTTTATTGTATTTATAGAGGGAAAGGGATGATATTGAATGTTTCTTCTGGAATTGCTTCTATCCCATTTCCCATGTACACCCTGTATGCTGCATCAAAGGCAAGTTTCACATCAGCGGCACACTTTTAAGTCTCTCTGCCCAGGCGACGTATGATCCTTCACATTTTAATTTGCGTTCTTATAGGTGTTTGTGGAAAGATTTTCTCAAGGTCTACAAGCTGAATACAAAGATAAGGGGATTATTATCCAGGTATTTTGATCCTCACTCAGACATCATCTCAAGTTTTATGAAACGAAGGCAATTATTTTCTTTAAACTAACTTTAAAGTCTTTTATTTCTTGTCCTCTTGTCCTAAATCTTTCCCTCTCATGCACTGTTTTCAGTCAGTGGCTCCATTCGGGGTATCCACTCGAATGGCTGGGTTCCAAAAAGCTACCATGATAACTTTTTCACCAGAAGACTTTGTAAAATATTCACTGCAGTACGTCAGCGCTGGAGACAAAACAAATGGAAGCATCTGTCATACAGTTCTGGTAAGACTTAGAGTCGCAAACATAATGCCAAAAACTGCCACCAAGAGACTGACCTGCAGTATTGTATGTGTGTGTGCATGTGTGTACAGGGCTGGTTGCTGCAGACTATTCCACTTAAGATTCTCTATGCAGAACCTATGATGCAAGGCTTACAAGACTACGCCAAGCAAAATCGAATGCAGGCTGGATTGGTCTAAATCAAAATCCATGTGTGACAGACATGCTGGTGTGCTTCAGATCATAAGTTCTTCTCCCCTTGCTTTTCTTTTTCCATCAACAGATTAATCTTGGTTTCATCTGTCCGAAGACTGATATTTTTTTTTGTGGAGCTATGCAGGTTCGTTTAGATGCTTTCTGGGAAAGTCTAATCAGGTTTTCTTGTTCTTGACTGTAAACAGCGATTTGCATCTTGCTATAAACCCTCTGTATTTATGTTCATGAAGGCATGTCTTGATTGTAGACTTAGACGCACCTACCACCTTGAGAGTGTTCTCGACCTGGGTTGATGTTGAAAAGGTTTCTTTCTTCCTTTTTTTTGTTTAACCATCAAAATGATTCTGCCATCGCCTACTTTTGTAATCTTTGTGTGGTCTTTCAGGCATTTTGGTGTTCTTGAGCCGGTCAGTGTTTGGTCACTCCTGAAGTTTTTGCTATCTCTCGGATGATTTTGTTTTTTTTTTTTCAGTCTATGGCCTCCCTTACTTGTACTGACATCTTTGAAATTCCAGTGAACAGTTACTAAATCCACATTCAACACTCAGAATCCGCTTCAGAATAACACTGGAAAAGGCCTCGCCTGCCCAATTAATTTTTACAGTTGACTGACAAAACTGGTTGTGTACTAAAAAAAAAAAAAGTTATAACATCTACACAGTTAATGCATTGCCTTTGTCAAACAGCCCCTGAATTAAAGGTGAAAGTCTGCACTTCCATCACATCTTAATTGTTTGATTTAAAATCCACTGTCATGGTGTATAGAGGCAAAATTGTCTCACTGTCCAAATACTTATGGAACTAACTGTATTAATATGAATGCAGTAGTACTGTCTGAACTGTTTCCATGTAAAACACACATGTCTATAAATTACATTCTTAATTTAATCTCCACGTCTTCATCTTATAGGGACTGATGCATGTTGTTTGTTCACTCAAATAAATGAAATATCACCATTGTTGGTTTTAAACAATATTGTTACTGAACAAATGGTGCTTTTCAAGTTTACTTGAGTAATTAGTGTTATTTCATGTAATACTGTGCACTCAAAAACAAGCTTTTCAATTTGCTTTAAAAAAAAAACCCTCAGGCCAAGTTATTCCACCCAAATGCAAAGTAACTGTTAACTTGCCAAAGCACTGCTTTTTGTTGTAATCAGACTATTACTTATTTATGAGTGTTCTTGTCGTGTTTCTCCTTCTTTGCACCTTCAGTTTTACGGTTCAGATATAAATCTCTTACTCCACACAGTTAATAATTCTGATGCAATTCAAGGTTAAAATTTACATAACTTTCTCATACGTGACTAAGCACTGATAGCAGTGACAAATGTGTGTGTGTGTGTGTGTGTCTACATATCTTGTAGAGATATGAGTAATAAAAATAATAATGACACCTTATCTGCTAAACGGAAGGACCTGTCTTGTTCCATTAATTCACTCCTACACATCCGTACGCACACACACACACACACACACACACACACACACACACACACACACACACACACACACACACACACACACACACACACACACACACACACACACACTTTTAACTGTCATTAGCATCCTCTATTCTCCTCTGAGATCAAGAAAACATTTGCTCGCGTGATGGGAAGACGCAATCATCTCAGAATCAGACTCTTTTCTAATCCACAGCAGGAGTTCGGGACAGAGACTTATCAGCTTCTACCTGCATCCTCAGAAATTAGTTTGAAGGGTGTGCTGCAGACAGCATGATATACAGTGTTTAAAGAAAACAAAACCTTCCCTCATCTGTGTATGTATATATGCTGACACGCACAGCTGTTTTAATTAGCATGTGCTTCAGTGATGTCTGACCTAAAAGGGTCACTAATCACACGGAGACAGGGGTGTTTAGACAACCGTGATGAATGATCCTCCCCATGAGAGATAGTGTCGGGAATAAGAAAAAAGAAGGAGTGAGAAGGGGAGGAAGGTCAGAGTGACCCTGAGCTTAGACAGTCTATTCCTAGTCTGAATGTTTAAAAAAAAAGAAAGGAAAATAATGACCTGTTCACAAATCAAAACTCTGTTCACTTCTCTTGGTATCGATCAATGACTGTAGGAAACATATACACTGATTGGTATGGATATTCATGGTAAGAGAAAATCTCAGAATCTGTGAGCTCATCAGTTTATCTGTAATTGATACATATGACTTTGGTTTTGTAATATATTAAGACAGAAAATCCTCGATTTCCACTGTGTACATTCACAGCAACTACAAATAGTGTAGGAGCCAAACTCACGTCCACAAAGTCTTTTAAAATTGTCAAATTATCAAAAATGTATTGCTGCCTGATTGATCATCGCGAATAATGGCCGATGGTAAATCAAGTGTGTGGACGCTTTTAACGTATTCCTACCTGAGCTGTTTGTTTTTGTTGCACATCATTGTTCATGGTAAAGCTTCAATCTAACTTGGCCTGGACTGCAGATGTAAATTAGCCGTGTTGTTTAAATTTTTTAATGTTTTTTTCTTTGGTTTATGTATATTCGTTTACATGTATGAAAGGAAAGAAAAAAGAAAGGAGTATTTATCATACCAACACAAACAGGGTGACACAAGAGTAACTAGTAAATCATACTTCATGAAAAATAAAGATGTGTTTTAACTGAGTGATTTGATGTCTTCTCAGAGTTCTCTAAGGTCAACTGAATTTTATTTATGTAGTGTTTTTCATAAATACTACGAGCTGTAATAAATCATTGGAGTGATTTATTATTAATCATTCATCAGGCCCCGTTAGACCCTGAACTTGAGCTGTTAAGAATACGATGGGTGGATGTTGTGATCGTGTAAAGATTCGTCATGGCCACTAGAGGGCGCGAAATGTAAAGGTTTCATCGTGCCTTGGGATTCCAGAGCTATAGCGCTGCAGCAGAAATCCGGCGATCAAATGTAGTCAAATTACCATTTTTATCACAACACTGTTCCCCGCCACCGGGGGTTTCCCATCATGCGTGCTAAATTGAAATATCTGTGTAAATGCATCTACTTTCAAAGCTGCAGTCTGAGCAACGTGTGTGTTACCTGCAGCTGAAATCAAAGGATGTTTACCTGGGTTGTTCAACAGCAGGGACTTTCCTCACCTGGGGTGATCTGCGATTTATGGGTATGGGTGGCAGCACAATTATGACACCTTTTAATTTATAGTTTCCCTTACAAAGCCTCTCTAACGTCAAGTGCGGTTCTCAAAGCTAATATCTCACTTATTTTCCAGACAGTGTGTGGGAGAGCTTTCTACACACGCAGAATGAGGGCTTTAACCATCAGATAGGTCAGATTTTGGTACACATATTAAACCCAGAGTGTCTAAAGCCTCCAGCAGATAATGAATTCATTAAGGAAGGGGTCAAGAAAAAGGTTTTATCACAGAAGATGACCATGGGTGACATGGGTGGTCAGGGCTCTTGAAGACACCTTCTTGTGTGTACGTTTGTGTGTGTGTGTGTGTCTGTGTGTGTGTGTGTGTGTGTGTGTGTGTGTGTGTGTGTGTGTGTGTGTGTTGAAGCACGGGTAAGAAAAGGAGAGCCTTTGAGGATGCTCCCTGTGTGACTCCTTTCTCCTCCCTGGACACTGCTTGCATGTTGTTTCAGTAAACAGAAGGGTCCAAAGATGATCCAAGACAAGCACATTGCCACTGCAGCCCACCCAGAAGCCAAGGTCAGCACTACTAACCTTCAGACACATGCGTAAACTTACACACTAAACCAAGCTCACACACAAAAAAATTCCAGGTTGACTCAAGTGTTTAGTTTGAAACTAGAACTTTATCCACCTTTGTGCTTGCAAAGTAAAACGAAGGTAGCAATTAACCCGGATAAAGGAGTTTTGAAAAAGTCCATACACTTACATACTTGACTGGCCAAACAGCCCAGATGTATATACTATACCTTTAACTCCATGTTGCCTTTTTTGGAGTGATGCTCATCTGTATTGATGGGCAAACATTCATAGAAGCTGAAATATTTCTATGACATAATTACCAATCTTGTTTTTCAGATTTTCTTGCTGAGCCCATGAACATTTAATTCCCACTGAGCAGTTCCAGGGGGGTAATTATTTCTCCCAGCAGTTATAATACCTACAGCTTTCCTGCCATCCAGGACTGGGCTCTTTGAAACTCAAGAAGATAATTCCAATCCTTCATCTTCTTCAAAAGAGCAGGCTGTCAGGGAAGAGCTGGACTGTCAGCGAGGGAAAGCAAACAAGCTGAAAGAAGAGGGACAAACGAGACAGAGAGAGTTTTAGAGAGATGGATGGTTTGAAAAATAAAGGGCAAGTAACTTCTCTGAGGGCCCAGTGCTCACATATGGCTAGGCTTTGCTTGTATAGCCTCACTTCAAGGCGAAGGGCCCTGCAAACATAAACAGTAGAGAGTCTGCAGCTGGAGCGGGGAGGCAGCCGCTTGCTCACCGAGACCTCTCTACACTAAACAATGGATCAAGTGACGCACAGGCCTTTGGCAGTGCAACAGAGACCCGGGCTGCTTAGAAAAGCCTTTCTTCCGTGCGTTTATATCTCTACTCTCTCAATATTTACCCCATGGGAAAACACACAATTTTCCATTCCTTTTGTTCTGAAAGCAGCAAAAAGAGTAGCCCTCCCATTTCCATCTCTCCCACCTTCAACACAGGGCAGGGTCAGAAAGGATAAGTGTCCTTTTTGTGCAAATCTTTAAAAATATTATAAAATTTTTGACAACAGTAGAACCCCAGCTAAAGAATTTAATAACTAAATTATTGCAACAGCTCGATAAAGGTGCTAGGAATGAAAAGATTAAAGCTTAAAGCTTAGATTTGCACTGAATCTCCTACACTGATATTCCCACACATGGCCTATTTCCAGCCATGATGAGGAGAAGCAAACAAAATGCGGATTAGTCTCCCTTACTGTGTGAGTCACTGCATTAGAAACTTAGTTTGTACAAGTGTGTGCATGTGTATCTGTGTGTGTGCATCTGTGTTATATCTCTTTTATGATGGGGCACAATGGGGAAAGGAAGGGCTCGGGAGCTAGTGAATTAACCCAAATTACAGCTAGCAGTTACCCAGACAACTGGATAGGAATGAGGGGCAAATGGTGTGTAATTTTGTAATGAAGGGGGAGTTCTTTTTCACATTTCGAGACCTCCTCTGCCTGTTACCGTAACAGGAGGACTCTGTATCCCTCCAAAACAGTTGTTGCCTGCTGAGTCACCTAAATGTGTGCTTTTTTTTTTTTAATAGGCCTCGGATAGAAGCTATTTATCTGTTTCCACGTTATTATCTATGATGGTCAGCTAAGTTTCTTTTACAATTTCTTAATGGTTACCTTTATTTTCAGCTTATTTTTTAAATAAGCTATAGTGTTGCATGAACTTTGACGAGAATTATATACTATGATTTCCTCTATGAGCTCGTAAAAAGCCCCAATAAGTAATTTTCTTAGCCAACCAACAAGTTAGTTTGTAGAGTTGTGATGTTTAGATGAGTTTTACTGAAATAGTGAGAAGTGTTTTGCATTTTTTCTCTTTTCTGACTCATTAAAAGTTGGTTAGAAAGGTTAAGTAGAAGTGCAAACATTAAAGATCTGGTAAAAGAGGGTAGGGTGTTTGCTCACTGCTCAAATGGGATTAATTTGCACCCACACAGTCCTAATAAGACAGATTAAAAAGATTTTTGAGCACAAAACCTTTAAGGCCACAGTGAAATGCAAGTTAAACCAAGGATGTGAGTGTTTTGCATGATCAGGAATTTTTTACGCTGTACAGGAAATAGTGGCTGGAGGGACTTAAGTAAGAAATTCTGACACCCACAAATGTTGTATGTGGCTTGGCACACACAGCATAACAAATGCAGGAACTAGCACCTACATACACACACCTTCCTTTCCCACAATATGAGGTCAGAAAACAGTGCTAGGAATAGATTAATTTAATCCAGTCTTAAGTAATGCATTTAGAGAATTTACTATAGCATTTATTGTTACAGTTGTCCATATTTGATATTTTGTCATGTTTATTGAAACAGGTGCACACATAAACAGAAAACCTGTGAATAAGGCAAAAACAGACTTTGTACAATTCTGTTTGTTCTGTTCTCTGCCAAGCTGTCGCCACACTGCTTCGGTGATGTTAAGGTCTGGGCTCTGGGTCCAGTCCATGACTGATCCTTTTGCATTGTGTTTTTTTTTTTCTATCCAGTTATGCTTTTACCACACGGGCAGTGTGTTTCATCAGATGCTTTCTGGATAGTACTACATGGTGGATCAAAATCTGATGGTACTTTTCTGCATTTAGATTTCCATCAGTTCTGACAAGATCACAGAGCCTGTGTCATGTTTTACTGTTGTACCTCTCTCCTGAGCTCCTCTGTGAATACTGACAATTTGAACCAAAAATGTCAAATTTGTATTAGTCACTCCATAAGATGTGTGTAGATACAAAACTGGTTCATCCTTTGAGTTTGGTGCCTTTTTAATGCTTGAATGATTCTTATACCGACTTAAAAACCCAAGAACTGGACTGAAAATGAGTGTAAAAGCAGTCAATGTCCACATAAAAACTTCAGAAAGCTTTAAGAACTATTGCTCAAAGAACTATTTTGTACAGTACTGTAAATCAACATTTATCACATTCATACGCTGAAGACTTGGGATTACTTTTTTTCAATGTGTATGTTTTTTTTTTTTTAAATTTCAGTGTCTTTAAAACAACAGATGCAGTTCGTAGCGCAGATTCTTTTGGTTGCTTCGTTTTATGCATTTATACATGAGCTATTTCTTAATCTGTGACAGCCTGCAGATGTTCTTCACACACTGCAGAGTGAACCTATAGAAACCCGATCCAAAGATGACTGCAGGGTGAGGTCAGAGTGGGTGACAACACTCATTCAGTTTTTTACAAATCAAATCAAACTAGGTGTGACAGTCTGACCTGTGAAAATAAACTTAGAGGTTCAGGGCCATCTCTTCGCTTGACTGTGCTGCATTTTACAGGCTTACAGACACTCAGGTTATTGTGGCAGGAAATATAAACAGACTTCTCAACCTTCCCTCGACACATAAAGACAAGAAACTAATGAGAGGACTGGAAAAACAGTCAGCCTCTTTGGTGGGATTTCTTGTAGCTCCATCTGTGGGAAACGGCCTCCCATGGCAAGTAATAAAATACAATAATCCAACTGATTTGAGACATTGTCAGTTATAAGTCATGGCAGCAGAAGCAGATCTTTGTTATAATAATGTAGTTAGTACTAAGGACATGAAAGCTTTGTTTGCCACCGAGCCATGCTAGCTGACATCCATTAGCCTGGAACCACTGCAAGCCAGTTAGTGAGCTTCACCATTGCCAGTAAACACAAAAAGATAAAAACGATAGGGATCTGCAAATCTCAGTTTTGGATGAATCAGAAACAAAGAGAGAAAAATGTTTTGGGGACTTGGAAGAGAAAAGGCTTTTGATTCATTAAACAGGTGTGACGGATGTGTGGCTTCTAATTTAGCAAACATAGCCATGATCTACCACACACACACACTTTACCGACCTGCATGATTTGTTGAGGCACGTTCAGTGATGTTCCGCACTTTCTCATTTCTGCTACACAGAACACAACACTTAAACAG